TTAATGCTTGTTCTTCCTCCATCCATTCTAGTAAAAGCAACAGCTATACGTTTTCAACTCGTTCTCACTCTCTAGACCACCTTTTGACGTGATTCAACTTCGAGGTGGTAGCTAACACCAGCGCGCAATTCGACCAAGCGGATTTGCATTTAGTTGAGAAACGAATTCGTCGTAAGTCTTCAAAGTGACCGGATCCTAAGCAACACCGAGACCAAGATGGCCGGAGGATCTGGAGGCCAAGCAAATCTGACGGCCGAAGGACAAACCAACCCGACTGCAACAAATGAAGCAACAACTACGGTCGGCACCGCCGCACTCGAACAGTTGTTCGCACAACTATCAACTATGGAGAAAGAACTCCAAGAACTGCGCAAAGGCGATGCGGGAAACTCTTCCCAACCATCTCAACCTGGTCAACCGGCTGCGAAAAGCCGTGATACCGCTGCGCATGCCTTCTCCCTTGACACAGACAAATCAACAACAACTGCCCCCCGTCCAAGTGACGAAGCAATCAACTCTGCGCAAGCATGCTTCCTCAGCGTCTCAAAAATCAAGACTACCGCCGCTTTTGACGGCAAAGACTTCTACAAATGGAGTTTGGAGCTTGAGCTCCTCCTACAGACAGCGCGGATCTACCACTATTTTGATGGCTCCTTTCCTAAATTGGTGGAAGACACCAAAGACGTCCGGGCTCAATACTACAGCGAGTCTCTCATGGCGTACAGCACACTTCTACGCAACATGACGCCTGCGGAGAAACTCGGCATCCGCTCCTACAAAGAGAGCACCGCTCCAGCCCTGGAAGCTTGGAAGCACCTTGTTGGGGTATATTAGCCGAAGGACTCAGTCACCTCCAGCAGGCTCATGCAACAGCTCATGGAGACCAAGATGGGGCACAAGGAGAAAGCAAACAGTTACATTAACCGCTGTCGAAATATCCGTGACTAGATCACGAAGAAGGGAAGCACCACTTCGGAGGAGATTTTCGTCAACAACATCCTCCAAGGACTCGGGCCTGAGTGGAAGCCATGTAAAGCATTACTCCGACAACGAGGAACCATCTCAGAAGCCGCGCTATGCGCCGCACTCCTGAACAGGACATGGACATGGACTCGAGCAGGACAAGCTCCGCGCCGCGCCGAGAGCACCTCGCCTTCTACTCGGACAATCGTGAAGAGCGACGATAACCTAGGCGCCATTATTGCAAAATCTGCAAAGTCTTCGGACACTCAACAAATCGATGCAAATCCCGATCCAACTATCGCCACCCAAATTCCACTCACCATACCAACTGGTTTGGCCGACAAGATATTCGTCAGACTCAACATCAGCACCAACACCAAGCTCCTCGCCCCTCTGCATAGCAACAACAACAACAACAACAGACACAAGGACCTCAATCAGGAGCTCCCGGAAACGTGATCGCGAACATGGCGACAAGGCGTCGTCCACGCGCCGCTGAACCAGACGAAGTGGAAGAACCTCACGGCAAACTCATTCAACCTGAAGCAGGGTGGAACAACCCCTTCACGGAAGACCACTATTATCTGTACGACGAAGAAGAGGAAGATTGGCATCTGCCAATACAACTGCGGGAAAGCCCGCCCCATGACAATCAGCAGTACGTACCTGTGGGATGGAAGGAGGATGAAGACCGTGGCTTTCACAGACAATACAAGGGTTTAGGGTGACTCCACGGCTCGCATTGCTCCTGCGCAATAACAACGATAATTACAACACCTGGTACCTGGATAGCTGCTGTGGACAACACATGGTCGGATCTACCCGATACATCTCTAGCGTAAATCGCGCTCTCGCCACCTATGTCACCGTCGCCAACAACGAGCAACTGCGCGCCAACGCACAAGGCATTGTGGTACTACAAGCACGAGACAGCAACACGCACATCTCGTTCAACGACGTACTCTACATCCCAAATCTCCGGTTCAACCTCCTGTCGGCAGGGCAACTCAGAGACTGCGGAGTCATGCTTGCCATAGACCCATACACGCGTCACCTCATCCTCACCTACGCTCCCCTAGACACACCTCCCAAGTCGCACAAGTACCTCAGAAGAGCACAATCGATGGATGGTGTCTACGTTCCGGATTTTGACATACCAAGCTGCCAAGCTTCATCGGACGAACTCGTTGACCTCGTCCCGCTGGACTTCCCGTTCATGAACAAGGAGTCTTGGGAGCACCCGAACGGACGGCCATGGATCCGCCGAAGTCCTCACCCTCGTGAGATAAATCTGCACCAAGTAGGCCCTGACGGAATCTGCACCACCTGCTACACACCCACAGCAAGCCACACAGAAGAAGTGGAGCGAGACCTTGCAGCAATTCAGGAAGCAGAGAGCGCTGACCGCATCTTCGGCAAAGAAAACGAGCACCTCGGACAGTAGCAGGAGAAACGCCCAACACCTCGCTCCGAAACACTTCGTTTCATCCTGGAAGCAAACGTCACCACCTACGACGAGGAAAATCGCCCGCGACCATACACCCCCAATCTCTACCGCACCGTCATCGACAAGAAATGGAAGGATCCAGATGCACCCGAAGAGCTGAGCGTTCACGGGGAAGAAGAGAAAGCAAGGGCAGAGAAGAGAGCAAAGCTGTACGAGGAGGGCATCGCAGCCGGATGGGACGAAGAGTCCGCACGGCGCGGTGCTTGGGGAGACGGCGACGACGACACTGGCGACACAGCGGGAGGAACATGGGGCTCCGCAACGGGTGCATGGGGAACTGGCGAATGGGGCTCCCCTCAACGACAGGACATCGCTGAAGGTGACCTCACCCGAAAAGAACTGGAAGCAGTCGAGGCAGAGATGGCAGCCAAGCACCCATCACCACGAGTTGCCGTCCCCCTCGGACGGCCACCCCGCAACCAACCATCACCCCTTCGCTCACCTTATCGTTGGACAAGCACCTGGGCGGAAATTGAGGAGGGGAACGTGCCACCTACTCCTCCCCGCGACTCACTAGGACCAATCTCTTGCCCAGATCCATTCGCTCGCCTCATCGAAGGCACCAGGACTCCACTAAACATCATCACCGACAGCAACTTCCTTGCGCTCTAACTCTCAACGGCACCTGCAGAAGGGGATTCAGCAGCAGAACCAGAGGCAGAGGAGCAGGACAACGAAACAGAACAAGGATAAGAAGAAGGACCCGTGCTCCTAATCCCACATGAAACAGAAGCAAAAGCAGCGACACATCACTCATGCTACCTGCAGACCCCCGGAATTCGCGCCGAAGATGATCCTAGCATCAGCGCCTCTGACACCCCTCGCGCCAAACGTTCAACAACTGCCTCCGCGCCAAAGTATTTCTACCAGGGGCACTGCTGCACCCTGACGGAACGGAACCACTCAGCACATCACAACCGACTGACTGCACAGTCAGCCCCACTGCGGCTCTCACGCACCAAGCATACCCCTCGCTAGAGCCAAGCACCAATCGCTACAAGAAACTGCAGAAGGTCTACAGCGACTTCATTGTACTCACATCCGAGGGCATCAACGGCGAACAATACACGCTCACCTTCATCGACGCATACTCGCGCTACGTCTAGATCGCCAACGTCGATATCCGCTCCAAGGCTCCCGAGATCTTCCGCATCTGGCTCGCACACTCACAACGGGAATCTGGGAAGAAGTTAAAAATCTGGCAGACTGACGGCGCCAAGGAGTTTCGCAGCAACGAGCTGGAAAGAGTTGTCGCAGAGAAGGGGATCAAGCATCAGATCTCCCTCCCCTACGCCCACTAGCAGCAAGGCGTTGCCGAACGTGTCAACCGCACACTCATGACAAAAGTGTGCGCCCTCATGAACCAGTCCGGCCTACCCCAGAAGTACTGGCCGTACGCCATGAACCATGTCGTGCGCCTACACAGCCTGCTCTCCACCACGACCAACCGGGGAAACCTCTCCCCACACATGAAATGGACTGGCTCAAGGGGAGATACCTCCATGCTGAGGGTCTAGGGGTGCGTAGTGCAGTACCGGCTGACATCGATCACCATTGGCAAGTTCCCTCACCGCATCCGCTGGGGAGTTCATCTAGGGCTCAGTTATGAGTATCGCGGATGGCTAATCCTTGACATTGACACCAAGCAGATCGTCCCCACGCGTGACATATTTTTCTACGAGTCACTCACCTTGCAGCAGTGGATTGACGATCAGCGCAGCAACGTCGCACGCGCCTACGCAAACAGCTACCGCAGCTTTGCATATCCAGAAGACGAGGCAGCAGCAGCAGCCCTTGACCGCGACCCCGATGACGAACATCTTGGCGTTCCGCCTCGCCCGCACGACAGCGACGACGATGACAGCGGTGATGCGACGACGATGACAGCGGTGATGCGACGACGATGACAGCGGTGATGCTCCCGCACCTGGACCATCCCGCCAAGCTGATCCTAGCGCTCCCTCACCTGACCACGAGAGCGACGGCGACGACGTGGTGGAAGTTCCCATCACGGCCACACCAGATACCACCACCATGTCCGGCCTACAGCTTCTCGGGCTACACACCTCCGTCTCCACCCTCACACGCGCCGTCGAGCCCAAGAATCCACGCCAGGCCCTCACCGGTCCTCAAGCTAAGGAGTGGCGAGCTGCTATGGACGCGGAGATCAAGGCGCTGGAGTCTCTTGACACGTGGGTCCTAGTCGATCGTGCAGCAGTGAAGGGGAAGAGGAAAGTGGGTTTTTTGCTTAAAAACCAACGCCGACGGCACTATCAAGCGCTTCAAGGCATGCTGGGTCGTACGCGGGTATGACCAACGCCATGGCATTGACTTCGATCAAACCTTCGCTCCCGTCAGTCGCCACATGTCCGTCAGGATCCTACTCGCTATCGTCGTTAAGGACTTATTTTTATACGCACTGGTGGATGCAACCATCTTTGTGGAGTAGCCATACACTTACGGAGAAGGAGATCCCAGGGTCTGCCCTCGCTGCCGCCTCCAACGCCGCCTCCTTGCCCTCCCCCTTGCCATGCTGAATCGTCCTTTCACCACTGCTGTGTGCAGCATTACTCGCACCATCTACCACCGACACCACTGCAAAGCTCCTCTGCTTCTCGCCCTTGCTGCACCCTCCCACTCCCCTTTTTCCCTCCCTCTTCTCCCTTGCCTCAATCTCCCGCATCTCAGCTCATCGCCGCCACACCTGCTGCACGCACCACATGTCAAACTGCACTTGTATGTTGCCCTCTCTTCCCCTCACCTCCCACCCTTCCCCTGACCATGCCACTCGCATTGTACCTAGCGCAGCCCCCTCTTCCATCTCCATTCCCCCTACCCTAGCCCCTCCTTCAATTCCCTCTTGTCCCTCGCCCCCTTCCAACTTCCCTGCGTGCCCGCCGCAACATCTCCCCTTCCCTGCCCCCTCTGCCACTGCACAATTTTCCTGCTGCCCGGCCAACTGGGTGCCAGGCAACAGCTGTGAGCCCACCACTTTGGGCAGGTCAGCTTGGGTCATCTCCAAAAAACTTTTCCCTACCCACTCATCCTGGGTTGCCTCTTGCAAGCCACCATCAACTGCACATAGGGCAGCACCATTCCTTTCCTCACCATTCTTTTCTGCACCTTTCCATTCCCTTGCACTCCTTTGCAATTGCATTTCCCCTACCTCCCATCCTCCTGCTCCACTTCCCTTACCTCATCACTATCCTCATCCTCCTCTCTCTCATCATCCTCCCTCTTATTCTCCTTCGCATTCTCCTCCCTCTCATCCTCCTCTATCTCCACTACTTTCCCCTCCAACTCCTTCCCACCCTCTTCCAACCAACCATCCCCACCCCCCCCCCCCCCTCACACGTCCGCTCTCATCCACTTCGCCCATCTTGCCTCCCCCACTTCCCCTTCCCCTTCGTCCTCCCCCGCCCCGCTTCCCCAGCCAAGCATCTAGCCCCGCCTGTCTCCCATCCACACCTTTCCGCGCCCCTTTCCACCCCCTCCGCTGCTCTCCCCCCTCACCCTTCCCCTCCCCACCCTCTGTCTGCCCATCCCTTGCGCTTGAGTAGCAGCTCCCCCATGAAACTCTGCCCCTCTCCCCTCACTGCCCTACTGCTGCCATTCCTTCTGCCCACATTTCCCTCAGTCTCCCTCTCCTCATCCTCCTCTTGTTTCTCTTCCTCTTCCGCTTCCTCTTCCTCTTCTGCATCTGCTTCCTCTTCCTCTTCCTCTTCCACTTCCGCATTTTGCTGCGCTCTCTGCCGGTCTCTCTCCCGCTCAGCAGCTGCCTTGTGTCACGTCTCATACCCCTGGAATGTACATGCCTGCTCCCTGCCACTCACTGCCCCCCGAGACAACAAAATCCAGTCTGCCCTGGCGCCAACACTCGTCACATCCCTGCCTCTGTCCTCACTCCTACCCACACGCACACCCCTACTCACACCCAAACCCAAACCCAAGCACAAGCCCTTGCCCTTGGCCTTGCCTTTGCCCTGGGGGCTCATGATCAGCAGTCGCCGCATGGCGGCTGCCTTGCTCTCACTCCACTGCAGTGTGCCCGCACCCCCACCTGCTGCTCTTTCTGCTGCTCTTTTTCCCCTTGCCGCCCATATCACTGCCTCCTCTTGTGCTGCTTCCCCCACTGCTGCCCCTAAAGCTGCTTTTCCTCCTTCCTCTCGGCGCTCAAACTGATGTAGAGTCTTCTTTCTGTCCCCATCCCCTTCCTCTTCCTCCCCACCTTCCGCCACCTCCTCCATCTGCCCATCCCCATCCCCATCACCATTCACATTCAACTCATCTCCCTTGGCCCCCCTCCCATCAGCATCCGCATCTCCTATTTCACCACCCCCTCATGCACCAGCAGCAGCACCACCACCACTATCACTACTCACCCTCACTCGCTTCCTCCTTCCCTCCCCCTCTTCCTCTCCATCCTCACCACCCTCCCCCCCATCCTCCCCATCCCCTACCCCTCTTCCCACACCCCTTCTCCCTTTTCTCTTCTCCCCAACCTCCCTCCTCGCCCGTTCCTCAATCTCCTTCGCTACCGAACCGGCTGGCGCGGCTCGGTAGACATACCTATCCGACGAATAAAACTCCGACAACGTCGCTCTTAGCCCCGACAGCAGCGCCACCTCGTAGTGCAAAAACACCTTGCGCTTATCCGGGGTCACGTTCACGTCGTACGCGTCTGCACTAAGCGAAACGTTTAGGAAAGCAGCGGGGAATTGCAGGGAGTTGAAGGAGCGGTAGAGCTCATTGAGCAGCTTAGAGAGGCACGACAGATCCAGCGGGCGCCCGTTGAGGAAAAAAAACTGCCAATCGCCCGACGACCTGCCACTGTCTGCTCCTGGCCTTCACAGGAACCCGGCTACTCTGCAGCAGGAGGCTGGCGGCACAGGGGCAGGAGCAGTGGCAGTAGCAGCAGGAGGAGAAGGAGAAGCAGGAGCAAGAGGGGCAGTGGCAGCGGCAGCAGGGGAGAGAGGGAAGGTGATGTCGACAAGATCCAGGCCCGCAGCAGCGTTGGCGCCAAAGACAGCGATGGTGTTCTCCCGCATCGACCCTGTGCGAATTGTGTGCACCACAGTGGTGTGCGCGCTGCTCCGCCCACTCTAATTGGTGCAGAGGATGCGTGCGTGCTTGGACACCACGCAGTACACCTGCAAGACGCTCACCAGCTTCGCAAACTCCCCCCGCACGTTCCGCTCAAACTCCCGCCGCCGCACGGGTAGCGGCGAGAAAATCTTTGCCACGCTGACCGTCGTTCTGACTGCCCGAGCGACATGTCCCCGAGGGGTGTCTAGGAGCTTTCCAACATGGTCAAATGCTAGGAGCGTTGCTATGGGCTCGTTGGCGATGCGGGTGGTGATGGTGACATGGGCGAGGGCGCAGAGGGAGGAGAGGGCCTCCCCTCGGAAGCCGAAGGAGGAGAGCGACTAGAGGTCGGAGAAGTGGGCGATCTTGGACGTGTGATACTTGAGGGTCAGTGCCTGCAGCAGTGCAGAGAGGGAGAGCGGGTGGAGGTGACAGAGGTGAGCTTTGAGTGCATTTAAACAATCACCGTGATTGGAGATTAAAGAAGTGAGCGATTTGGGACGTGTCGCACTAGAGGGTCAGTGCCTTCAGTAGTGCAGAGATGGAGGATGTGTGGTACTCGAGAGTCAATGCCTGCAACGGTGTAGAGGGAGTAGGGAATCGGTGATTGGCCGGGGAACTGGGAATAAGAGGTGGGCAAGAGGGAGGGAAAGAGGAGAGGAGGGAGGTTATAGAGGAGAAAAAGGGGAGAGGAGGACGGGGATAGAGGAAGAAGGGGAGCGCGATCGGGAAAGGAAATACAGGAGGTTAGAAGGTCGGTGGTGTTATGCTTGTAGGTCAGAACCAGCAACCTGTAAGACCAACATATTCAACGATTTACTCCAACAATCTCTGTGCCAAGTCCTATTTCCTTCATGCATACCTTACAGATTCTCACCCCCATCGCCCTTACTCTCCAAACCCCCCACCTTCCAGTTGTCACCTGCCACACCACACCCCCCGTAGGCCTACAAACCCATTTGAGCGCTCAGGATTGTGCTATGCTTCGACAGCTGCAGCGCCCACAATCTTGAGCGCTCTCAACGCCCCTTGACCACCCGCAACGCTCCTTGCGCAGTCAAGCTGTCACCTGTCTGTCAGTTGGAGGGCGAAACCCTACAGCCGTTATTCGCCACTTCCTCATTCGCCGCTCCCGCATCCGGCCTGTCCATCGACCGCCCTCAACGCCCCTTGACCGCCCAAGAGCCCGCTCAATGCTGCGTAGGCAGCACAGGCATCACCTGCCAGTTGGGGGGCGAGACCCCGCAGCCGTAATCCGACACCTCAATGAGCTCCGCGCCAAAGTCCTTGAGGCGCACCTCCACGCCCGCCGCCCCCGCGTCCAACCTGCGCATCAACTGCACTCAACGCCCCTTGAGCGGCCTTAACGTCACCTGCCAGTTGGAGGGCGAAACCCCACAGCCGTTGTCCGCCACCACTATGAGCTCGGTACCGAAGTCTTTGAAGCGCACCTCCACACTCGTTGCCCCCGCGTCCAGACTATTCTCAACAATCTCCTTTACCGCGCCCGCCACGTCCAACACCACCTGCGTGGGGGATGGGTTGCAAGGGAGAGGGGGAGGAGGGGGGAGGGGGGCAGGAGGTGAGGGTTGGGTGGTGAGAAGCTGGCCCCCAGGCTGTTCCCCACCAGCTCCTTCACCGCGCCTGCCATGTCCAAAACCACCTGCGTGGGGGGAGGGGGATTGATGGAAGTCGGGAGTCTGGGGTGTTGGTGTAAGGGCCTAACAAACTCAAGCTATTAAGACTTTATCAAACTTAAAACCTCTCCTCGGGGTCACCTCCAAGGGTCCTTGGGTGCCTGGTACAAGACCAGCCCCTATCCTCGGGTCCGACTTTGTAGAGAGAGGGATCAAGAATGACTTAGTCAAAATAACAAGAGTACCTTGAACGTCGCGCAGCGTATCGTGCAGACCGTCGACCGGATTAAGCTGAGAATTTCCTATATCGAAGCTCACTCCAAGAGCTTTAAAATAAGCCAAGTTGCCTCGCGAAAAGTTCTGCCATTACGAAGTTATGGCTCGGACAGCTTTTGCCTAGTGTTGGAGTGCTAGCGTACTAGCGTTGACTCGGGTAGCATTCCGCCGTCGCACCGCGTAGAAACGAAATTCCAGGAAGGGAGGAATTCGCTTGAATCAAATTGACTATATTCAGGTACAAACAAAGAAGGAATATATAGTTCTAGCTAGCAAGGACCTTGGGAATAAACCTGGGAACAACTAGGGATGATCCCAAATAATTCCAAGCAACAGAACCAACCTGGCTGGACAAAACAGCAAGTGGTAGGTTGGTAAACAACCTCTGGTTCTGTTTTTCCAACCTGGGAAAAACAACAACCAGGTTCAGGTCCTAAAAACAGAACCTGTTTTGTCTTTGCCCAACCAGCCAAATGCTGGTTCCGCTGGTTTCCCCTGGCCCTGTAGCAAGCAGATACAGACAAACAACATCCAACCTTCACCTAAATTGTACCCCTATAGTGCCTGCCCTGCTACACTATAGTCAACCAAACAAAACAGTACAATTTCGAGTTGGATAGAACTGAATCTGCTCAATCAATTCAACCGAACCGCAAAGCTTCCATCTTGGGTTCCTTTGCGAGCTCGTCCTTTCTGCTTGTACTGTTCATAGCGCGTACAATGTTGTGCCGAAGCGCATAATGCGCGAGTACCTGCAAATGGTTCAAGCGAAAATTGCGAAAGCAAACAAACACACGAACATTCCATTCACACCCAAATGCATTCGCACACGCATACTCATACAAACAGACGGCAGGATGTCGTGCAATGTGAATTTGCACCCAACATGGGGATGCAGGGAAACATGTACCCCGCTAGCCATATCCCTGGCTCTTCTTCACCGTCACCGCTGGGTCCAACACCAACCCTGTGGGAGATTGGAGGTGGAGAGAGGAGTGAGGGGGGGAAAGGCCGCGGGGTATTTGGGTGGAAAGAGGCGGGTCTCTCACTGCCCACATCCAGGCTCTCCACCAGCTCTTCTCCGCCACTTCCACGTGCAAAACCACATGGGATGGGGCGTTGGAGGGGCGGGAGGAAGGAGGAGGGGGGTGTTTGGGTGGGGATAAGCAACTGTGCACTAGCCGCGTTTATGTTCTCTACCGGCTCTGTGACACGTATCAGGGCTGCGATTCGCAGCGTGGCGTGCGGAGCTCCAAAGTGCGTCAATTCAGGCTTGCGCGGCGGGACCATGGCGAGTGGCGAAAGGGGGGGACGAAGGACGGGGTACTATTGCGGGTCGAGAGGAGCTCCGGGGAAGGGAGAAGCGGGGGAGGGGGGGGGGATAGGGAAAGGGGGCGAGACAGACTGCGCGTCGCCAGTGATGTTGGTTGAGGACAGACGCAGGCGCGAAAGTTATTTGGCCACACGAAGGGCTATTGCAAAATAACGACAAGACAAGTTAACGGCTTGACCTATCGGCTCACCTGTCCAGAGCACATGCGGTGAATGGCGGATTTATCTATTGCCCGGGTCATGGTTTCCCTGCCGCTGCTGGCGCTACCGCTAACGCTAACTTTATTATTGCTTGTCATCTCACGAACAACCCTGCTTGCTTGCTGGCAATTAGCGTCCTTCTCGTAATACCCATGCAGGTTGGGTTCGGAGCAATAGCAGCCAATACCAAAGTCAAATTGAGTGCAAACGCAATCGTCCTATTAGCTAACTGAAAAGTGTCGGAACTAGCATGCGAGCTGACGGTGTGGTATCCATCACGAATTGGAATTTTGCTAAGACGAACTCAAACGCCCTGTTGCAGCAATTGACGAGATGCCTTTTTTGTCAATCCGAAACACTGATGTTATAGTAGATATAAAATAATTGCCTTGGAATGATTTTTAAAAAAATGGGGATTAAAGCAACGATAGAATTTGTGACTACAAGAACGCTTAATATCAAATATAAATACAGTAACGTTGTTACATGTACAGGATTATTAGATGCTCCAAATGTATAAATTGAAACACATTCTACAACCTAATGTAGTATGGTCAGTCATACACTCAACCATCCAATCCTAATGTAGTATGGTCAGTCACAAACATGTTAGAAACTGAATGATGGTTTACTATTGTGGGTTGGGGTACATAAACCTAACCCTAACTGCTGTCCCCCATATGACACGCATCATTAAAGGCTATAACATTTGACAAAATAGGTAAAAAAGTCATTGATATTATTTAGTGCAATCACATTATTTAAAAAAAATCATTGTTATGTCAATGCTCCTAACCTATCGTTCTACTACACCTCATCAACCATCCAATCCTTCACTGTCACCTTTCCAAAATAAGTCCACGAGCGGACCTTCTTAATATCTGCATGTCGTATCCAGATCTCCACCTAGGTCTTCCTCTTTTGCATCTCCCTTTTGTTGGACTCGCAGTCATTAGTCATGCTGTGATTGGTTGTGAGTCTCTCATTCTCAACCTACAAGCATAAAAGGGAAACAATACATCAGTATATGTTACAGTGAACATAAACGCGAAAAGTTGAGAATTACTTAGAGCAACCATCAAGTAGCAGAGCTAATCGATACTCAAGGCAATAATACCAAAATTCTTGTCATACCATTTACTTGCAACCGCATTAAAAGCCAAGCTACAGAAAGGCTTCTCATCTTGTGCATGCCATGGCAGCCCAAACTCCTCTGAGAAGAAACAAGAGCACAAGTGTTAGACAAATACCAGAATGGGGAAAACATGAAGCCATAGGGTTTCAGGTTTAAGTTACCTGATGCATGGGCAGTCGCATAATTCTCACACAAGTCAAAACCATCGGGTTTCTTTAGGAGACAGAAGGCAGCCCGCCGACCCTGGTTCCCAGCCTTTTCGCGTCGACCGTTGCACATCTCGATGCGCTTCGTGTATTCGCCTTCCTTCCATAAATCATTGAACTTCCCAACACCACTTTCTTCGATGGTGATGTACGGAATGACGGCTTCTTTGAAGAGCTCTTCCTCAGGCTAAATCACACGTTTGTCCACATCTGGGTCCTTAAGAAGGTCCTTGCAAGCTTTACGACACGTGGCCTGCAAACACAAGATACACGAACGGGGTTAAAAGCGTGCTGAACAACAAAAGCATAAAGGTACAGAACAAAAAACAAATCTTTACCAGCAAAGTCTTCTCGGTACACTAGCTCGGCTAGTGTACAATCTCCACCAGGTGCTTTACGGATGAATCCAAAGACTGCAGGATTTGGTCGGACACTGCTAGTTGCCTTTCAAGACCCTGCATGATGTCGCGGATGCCCTTAAGCTCACAACATATTTCATTATCCAGGTGATTGTAGGATTTGGCCTTGAGATGATGCCTTTCGCGATCCGAGTTGCAAGCAGAACTTGCACAGAAAGTCAAGGAAAGGGGACACAATGACAGAGAAGAAAATAAGCACGAAGAAGACTACGAGCATTCAAAAATGAAATATTACCGCCAGCATCTGGAGTCCTAGCAGCACGGTCCGACTACAGGGTTGCCGCTCGAACCATCGTGAGCAAATGCACCCTCTTTTCAGCTTCATCGGCGTATTCATCAGCAGCAACATGTTTTTTGGGGTGGTTGCTATTACTGGGCTCCATTTGACAGCATCGTTACGAGCCGTATTGGTACCCTAGCCTCGTCTGGTCCTGCATATCTGCGTTCTATGGGGATAGAGTTGGGATCTAACTCGTAGTTTGCATACCTTTGGTTAGGTCTGCACAGGCGCTTGCGGTTGAAAAAATCTTCAATTTCAGAGGCACACCATACGCCATAGCTAGGCTAGCTCAGAATGAGCTTCGAGCATCATTTAACATGGAGTTGGGGAAGAACACGATGTGGCGGATGCAACAACAACACGAGATGGGGGGGGCATCATCAACAATAGGTGGGGGATGCCTGGACAGGAACTAGTTGTGAAGGTTGTGTTATGCCCAAAGAAAACTGAAGTCCACAACAGAACGCTGTCAAACGCTGGAAACATATATGAATTGTAACATTAAAGCAATGTCAGCTTGGTTTTGGGCCACCAGGGTGAGCCAGCTTCGAAATTGTGAAATCTTTCAAGTGGTGCCATCAAGGTACAACACGGCGTGTAAGCTGTACAATTTGACATGCTTGTGAGAGTACGATGGCTTATGCTGCCTTTGCTAGCTTGCCTCAACTTCATTATGCTATTTCTAGCTTCAATCTTTTTTATCATGTAGGGTTATGCTTGATTTCCTAGGTTAGGTGCATTCCTATATGTTATTACAGTTATAGCACCGAACCAAGTTACGTGTACCGAACTCAAGCCTTTTCGGTTGCCACCGAATTGCTTTCTACCGAGTTTGGGAAGGTTCTGTTCGGGATACTTCGCGACCCTCACAACATTCGCGTAATACATGGGTTACCAGACTTGCGTCGAGACTATATATAGCCTTGTGTTGTACCCAGGTGAATCAATCATTCAAGACCCATTTTTCTGAGCTCATTTCTTGATCCTCACACTTGGTAATCAGAGCCTGCTTACACGCGAAGTTTTTTTACTGCTAAAACCTAGCATTTAAAATCGTGGGGACGACGATAAAAAGCGTCGATTTTGGCTATATAAACCAATTCCGCGCTATTTTTAAACGTCCCCCTCGAACCGGTTCTCGAACACTCCTCAGGTTCATGGACAAAATAGTTGGAATTTTGACCGTCAGATCGATTCGAATCTCAATGGCCCTGAGAATTTCGCCCAAAAAAAATGGAATTAGGAGCGTCGGATCGATTTTCTTCTCAACTGCCGAGATCGGACAGGAATTTCGACTAAGGAAGAATTACGCGACGTACAGATTTACCGCTCGTTGTTTCTACAGTCGATTTGATTCGTAGTAAGTTGACCAGTGCCTATAATTTAATTATTTTCGTCAAAAATCTTCTTGTAAATCGCCAAATGGAGGAAAATGGTGAAAATTCCGTACAAAAAAATACGAAGTTACACACCCACCTGGACCAGATGCGAGCGGCACTCTTGCAAATAGAGGAGCTTCTTGCGAACCAGTCGGCAGCCGCCGCGGCAGCAGCGAATGCAGCAGCAACGGCAGCAGCAGCAACAGCAGTGGCGACATCGACACTTCACCCAGCAGCAGCCATAGTGAATTTGGAGGTGGCACATCCGAGGCTTGTTGTTTACAGAATCACTTTTCTGTAATTCAATCTGCTGATTTAAGGTTATGGTTCATGTTTTTTAGCTGCAGCTGAATTGAGCGATGAGTCTGGTAAAATCAAGGTAAAGTCATGGCTGGTCTCGACCAATAGGAGTGGCTGGTGGTGTTCAAAAGAGCGAGTTTTACTTTTTGTTTTTGAGCGAAGTGATTTGGTGGTTCCAAGTGGCTGCTGTTCGAAATGGCAGTTGCACATGAGTTCGAGCGAATAGTTGCTCCAATCGCCACTGTTCAAGGAGCAGGGTTGGTTCTTGCTCGTAAAGCGTGTTCGTTAGCGTGTTCATAAGCGTGTTCGTTAGCGTGCTCAGTAACGCGAGCGTCAGTGCTTGTGAATCGTTTTTCAGCACAGGTGGGGAGATCAGCGAGATTTCGAGTTAGTTCGGTTGCTCACGTTTTTTAGCAGCATTGACAGTTCGGATCAAAAGTAAGTTCGGAACGAGGGCACGTGGCGAGCAGCAGTTGAGCGATCGAAGGCTCTGCTAATCGCCACTGACATATTGACTCGTTCAGGTTTCGAACAAACTTCATCGCAACCGTTCAAGATTGGCACGGATCAAAATTCTCGGATCGGCACCATCAACATTGTTCGCGCGCGAAAGACGAAATATTTCGGTGACGCATCGAGTGTGCGCCAGGTCACGAAGGGAATGGGAGGGAACCTGAAAATCTGTTCGCGCTGCAAGGTGTGAATTTGAAACACCTAGATCAAGGTAGAGTAGAATGATTTAGCTTAGTATAAAACTGTTTTTTCTTGTCTGTTTTCAATATAACTTCAGTGGAAAATTATCCTCTGCGCCTGCTGCAAGAACGCTGCCATAGTTTATCGTTTTGACAACACCAAGGAAGCGACGGCTGCTACTACACTTTAGGTGTTACCACAACTCTCTCTCTCTACACACTCGGACCCTTGGATAGGGGCTGACCCCGGTCAGGCACCCAAGGACCCTTGGAGGTGACCCCGAGGAGAGAGTTCTAGGGTCAACTAAAGGCCTCTACTAGCCAATTAAGTACGTATCTATTGTAACAAGTTGTATCAGAGCTCTGGTTTCTCTTCATCGCCGTTAGAACGATATGGGAAAGAATGGAGCTGAAGGTTTTTCGAGCCAAGCAAGCAGTGAAGGCCAAGAAACCGGGGGTTTGGCGTCAAGGATAGCGTAGACTAGCCAGGGATCATTGTTAAAAGAAGTGCTCAAGAATTTTTGCGTGGATAGGTTCAACGGCACCGAATATGATGACTGGGCATGGAAGATGCAGCTGTATTTCAGACAGGAGGGGCTGCTCAAGTTGATGATTGGGAAGGAAGAGAGA